GTGGTTCCTCAGACAACTACATCTATGATCACCATATGATCCAGAAATTCTACTTCTCGATATTTATCTGAGTATATAGCCGAAAGAATACACAAGGAAACTCTTTAGATGATGGAAATGTTCCCTGTCTTGATTATGGTGGTGATTACATGGGTGTATACATTTGTCAAAACTGGTTAAATGGTACGCTCGAAATGGGAGGTGGGGTGATGGAATGTCCTTTCCAAGATTAGGCTGTAAAAACCTATGACCCAGAAATTCCACTCCAAAGAATATAACCCAAAGAACTGAGAGCAGGTGTTCAAACAAATGTTTATAGCAGCACTGTCTGCAAGGGCCAAAAGGCAGAAATAACCCAGGGGTGCCTGGGGTGTGTGAGTGGGTTATCGGTTCAGCGTCTGACTCTTGATTTCGGCTCAGATCATCCATGATCTCACGGTTTGTGGGATTGAGCCCTGTGTCAGACTCTGCGCTGACAGCTCAGAGTCAGCTTGGGAGTCTCTTTCTCTCTCTCTCTCTCTCTCTCTCTCTCTCCCCTCCCCATTCATGTTCTCTGTCTCAAAATAAATACATAGACTTTAAAAAAAGAGAAGGAAATTCTGTCCCAGGCTACAACATGGATGGACCTTGAGGACATTATGCTCGGTGAAATAAGCCAGTCGCAAAAGGAAAAATACTACATTACTACATGACCCCACTTATATGAGGCACCCAGAAGAGTCAAATTCATAGACAGAAAGTAGAATGGTGGGCGCCAGGGGCTGGGGGAGGTTCAGTTTGGGAAGATGAAAAAGTCCTGGGGATGGACGGCGGTGGCTGCACAAGGCGGTACATCAGCGCGACCATATTTCATCTGGACCGTGCATATAAAAATGGTTAAGATGGAAAGCTTTATGTTGTATATTTTCTCAGAGTGATAGTAATAATGACGATGATGATGGCGGTGGCGATGGTGATAATAATAAAAGGACATTTCTTTCAAGCCAAGACCAAGGAAGCTACAGAGCCTGATTCCTGTAGCTAAAATTAGTCTGGGCTTGAGAGCCTGGCCTTCAGACTTCTTACACCTTCACAGGGCGGCCAGACAGTGGCCTACCCACCCCCTTCCCAAAATAGGTAGGGAGCCGGCTTATCCCCAACACCCGGCAGGTGTTGGATGAACCTGAGCAGAGGTGCTCTGGGGAATTACAGAGCTGGCCTCGGGACTCCGGCTCCAGACACGCCTGCTAGTCATCCTGAGAGGAAACCGAGGCTCAGAGAAGGGGAGTTGCTCTGCCCAATGCCGCAGATGAAAAGCCAGGGTGTGAACAGGTCTGAGAAGCTTTGCAGTGGACTCGGCTTTTTCTTTTCTCTTTGGATTAAGGCGGAATTCCCAGCATGCATTTCTGTAAGCTTTGGCAAAGACAGACGGTTGTGGATTCCCCACCAAGGTCAAGATACAGAACTGTCCTAGGCCCCCCCCCCCCCCACTGCCTGTTCTCCTGGCTCCTTTGAAGACAGTCTCTCCTTCTACTCCTCGGCCCTGGCACCCACTGATCTGTTTTCTGCCCCTATAATTCTAGCCTTCCTAAAATATCCTGTAATGAGAGCACACAGTGTAGTCTGAGGCTGGCTGCATTCGCTTGCCAAATGCATCTGAGACTCAGTGTCACGGCTGTGTGTGTCTATCAGCAGTTAGTTCCTTTTCATGGCTGAGTACTATTCCATCGCGTGATGGAGTGATGGAACACTGGTGATGTTCATCCATTTACCAGCTGCGAGACATTTGGGATGGTTCCGGTTTTCAAAAAAAAAAAAAGGGGTGCCTGGGTGGCTCAGTTGGTTAAGCATCCGACTTCGGCTCAGGTCATGATCTCACAGCTTGTGGGTTCGAGCCCCGTGTTGGGCTCTGTACTGACAGCTAGCTCAGAGCCTGGAGCCTGTTTCAGATTCTGTGTCCCCCTCTCTCTCTGACCCTCCCCTGCTCACACTGTCTCTCTCTCTCTCTCTCTCAGAAATAAATAAAACACTAAAAAAAAATTTTTTTTTAACATCTCTTGGGTGAACACAAGCTTGTGTTTCACTTGCGGCATTATGCAGTACACGGTGTTTAATTCCCAAGAGACCGCTCAGCTGTTCCCTGCCAGCACTTTGTGAAAGTTCCAGTTGCTCCACATCCTTACCAACACCTGGCATAGTTAGCCAGACTTATTTCATCCATTCTAAGCCCTATCGTAACCTACCATGGCTGCCACGACGACAAAGTGGCTTAAATAAGAGAAATGTTATTTTCTTACAGTTCTGGCCTCGGAGAGTCCAAGACAAAGACATTGGCCGCAATGTGTTTTGTTTTGTTTTGTTTTTTGAGGCCTTTCCGTTGCTTGTGGATGGCCACCTTCTCCCTGGGCCCTCCCTTATGTGGTCTTTTCTCTGCCCGTGTCTGTGTCCTAATCTCCTCTTCTTATAAGGACCGCCGTCACATTGGAGCAAGACCTGCCCAAAGAGCTCATTTTCACTTAATCACCTCTTTAAAGACCTTAATGGGTACGTTCTGAGGTATGGGGGATTGGGGCTGCAACCTATGAATTTTGGGGGGACACGATTCAGCCCCTAACAGATACGTGGCAGCCTTTTGTTGTTTTGATGTATATTTCATGCGATTACTTGCCATCCATATATTCTCTTTGGTGAACTGAGTGTTCGGATTTTTTGTTCCCATTTTTTAATGGAGTTTTTTCCTTCCTCCTTTCCTTCCTTCCTTCCTTCCTTCCTTCCTCCTTTCCTTCCCTCCTTCCTTTTATTTTTTTATATATATAGAGAGAGGGAGAGGCAGGGAGGGACAGAGAGACAGAGAGACAGAGAGAATCCCGATGTGGGGCTCGATCCCATGATCCTGGGATCATGACCTGAGCTAAAATCAAGAGTTGGACGCTCAACCAACGGAGACACCCAGGCGCCCCAGGGGTTTTTCCTTTCTTATTGAAAAAATTTTTACACCTTTACTGAGATAGAATTGACATACAATAAACTGCGCATATTTAAAGCATAGAGTTTGATAAGTGGTAACATGCATATAGACCCGTGAAACTATCACTACAGTCTGGATAGTTAAGATTTACATCACCTAGTTTCTGCAAGCTTCTCTGCCATCCCTCTTACCTTCCCCTTCCACTCCTCCTCCCCCCAAGCATCCTTTGATCAGCCTATTACTGTAAGTTAAATAGCCTTTTCTAAAATTATATATAAATGGACTCATAGAGTATGTGTTTTTTTTTTTTAAGTTTATTTATTTTAAGAGAGAAATAGAACTCAAGAGTGTGAATAGGGGAGGGGCAGAGAGACAGAGGGAGTAAGAGAGAATCCCTAGCAGGCTCCGCACTGTCAGCACAGACCCCAATGTGGGACTCAGTCCCACAAACCGTGAGATCATGACCCGAGCCGAAGTCAAGAGTTGGGTGCTGAACCGACTGAGCCACCAGGTTCCCCTCATCCACCCACCTTCTGATGGACACTTGTTTGTTGTTTCCAGTTTGGGGCTATTACAAAGCCGCTGTGAACACTGGTGTACATGGACATATTTTTATTGCTCCTGGGTGAGTACCTGAGTAGAATACCTGGGGTATATGAGAAGTGAACAGTTAATTTCTTTAAAAATTTTTTAACACGTATTCATTTTTGAGAGACAGAGACAGAGCACGTGGAGGAGGGGCAGAGAGAGAGAGAGGGAGACACAGAATCTGAAGCAGGCTCCAGGCTCTGAGCTGTCAGCACAGAGCCCGACGCGGGGCTCGAACTCACAAGCTGTGAGATCATGACCTGAGCCGAAGTCGGACGCTTAACCAACTGAGCCACCCAGGCGTCCCAAACCCTTAATTTTTTTTTTAAATGTTTTATTTATTTCTAGGAGAGAGAGAGACAGCGTGAACAGGGGAGGGTCAGAGAGAGAGGGAGTCACAGACTGAAACAGGCTCCAGGCTCCGAGCTGGCAGTCAGCACAGAGCCCGACGCGGGGCTCGAACCCACGAACCGCGAGATCATGACCTAAGCAAAAGTCGGACGCTTAACCGACTAAGCCACCCAGGTGCCCCCCAAACCCTTAAGTTTTAAAGAAACTGCCCCTGTCTTCCAAAGTGGCCGCACCATTTTCCACTCCCGCCTGTAGAATGTGAGCATTCCTCTTGCTCCACATCCTCACCAGCACTTCGTATGGGCAGTCTTTTTTTTTTTCAATAAAATTTTTAAATGTTTATTTATATTTGAGAAAGAGACAGTGTGCAAGTAGAGGAGAGGCAGAGAGACAGACACAGAATCCAAAGCAGGCTCTAGGCTCCCAGCTGTCAGCACAGAGCCCGATGCAGGGCTCAAACTCACAGGCCATGAGATCATGACCTGAGCCAAAGCCTGACCCTTAACCGACTGAGCCACCCAGGGGCCCTGTGCAGTTGTTTGAATTTAACCCTCCTAGAGAGTGTGAACTGGGTATCTTCCCACCCATTTCCCTGATGGCTAAGGATGTTGAGCATCTTTTCATGTGCTTTCTTTTGTGTGTGCCATCTGTGTATGTCAATGTCATCTCAATGTCAAAGTGTCCATTCAAATCCTCTGCTCATTTTTAATTAGGCTATTTCTTGAGTTTTGAGAATTCTTTATATATTCTGGATACAATGCCGTTATCAGATGTGTGATTTCCAAGTTGTGCTCTTAAAAGGGTCCTGTACAGATTGAGCTGCAAACCCCAATCACCCATCAATTTTCCCATCTATCTATAAAGGGCAGTGATAATCATCACGCTCTTTTCCCCCAAAAGCAAACTGGCTTGGAGGAGGGAAGGCCCCACGACCTGTTGGTGGCACTGTAAATATCTGGACTCCAAATCCCAGACTTCACCCAGAGGCTCCATCTCGATTTGGGGCTGCCACGAGCCCCCTTTTCCTGGAAACACTGAGTGTCTGTAAGGAGACAAGACCCCATTGTGTCCTAAGGTCTAAAAGACCAGGAATAAATCAAACGAGCCAACGGGGTTCTTTCAAACAGATTTATTTGCTGAACCTTCATGCCGAGCCTTGATAAACATGCAAGACGATGAACTCGGAGCCTCAGGATTCACCCAGCTCCCGGGTGTCACAGAATCAAGGCACTTTCCCGACAGCTGGGCAACATCTGCAACCCTGCCGGCCCCATGTGGATCTTGACGCAGCGGTAGGGGGGTGCCCGGAGTACCCACATGCAGAGGACAGCTCTAAGCCGGCCCAGTCCGGCCCCAAACCCCACCGCAGACAGGCCACACCTAATCTACCCGCCCCTGCTTGGATGTCCCGGTGATACAGGTTGAGATGAAGATGGCCGGGGGAAAGGTGGGGGGGGAGGGGCTCAGCTACTGTTCCCCCCACTTACCCTGAAGCATGTTCCGGGCTGCCCAGCCGCTGGGCAGCAAAATGCCTGGCACAGAGCAAGCCGACTCCTCTGACGGGCTGAATGAGCAGCGGAGGTGCCAGCACAAGGGAGGCCTGATGCTTCTGGGGCCCCAGAGCAGGGGCTCAGAGGCCCTTGACAGAGCTGGATCTTGGGACCCCCGACCGGCCAGCTGCATTTCTTTGGTTTAGCTCCAGCCTGAACCCAAAGATCAGAGTAAGCCACCCGCACCCTCCAAGCTCTGCAGACTGGCCTAGATGTGTGTACTGAAGCCCCCTCTGTGCCAGGTAAGTTGTGGGGTGCTCCGATCCACAGACACAAATCATCTAAAATGCAAAGCCGCTCTCAAGCACAATGAAGATCCGTCAAGGCCTCCCCTCCCGACTGCGTGGTGCTTAAGGGGTTTATAAGGCTGGCTCACATCCGGGCGCACACTGACACTTCATGGGGAGGAGGGCTGAGGGTCCCCACCATACAGATGGGGACCAGAAGCCTCGGAGGAGGCAGCCTGCCCGGTGCCATCCAGGAGGAGGCAGCAAGAAGCGAGGTGGAAGTCATAGCGGCTGCCTCACAGCAGGTACTTTGGAAATGTCCATCAAATTCGTGACTCTCAGCTTGACCTGAAATTCCTTCGGAGTCAAGATGTCATTTTAGAGAGGAAATAACAGAGCCAAGAATATACCACTAGAGTTTCTGGCTGGAGCCACTGTCAGGATTCTGTGGGCCTCCCCCACCCCCCAAATAAAGCTGGGTTGCTATGGTGGCCTGGCAGGAAGAGAGGGACCCCTCCATTCCTACAAATGCCCCTCAGCCCCGTATCTCATTTAACCCCCCACATCAGCCCTGGAGGGCGGGCTGATGGCCCCAGTTTGCAGACTGGGAAGTTGAGGCCTGGAGAGCGGAGGGCTGAGCCCAGGATGCCCCCACACCAGCTCTGAGGGTCCTGGGTCTGGATCTTCTCCCCGGCACCTCGCAAGGCCTCTGGGCCACCCGCTAATCTGCCTTCTTGGTCTTCTTCTTCCGGGAGCCCTCACTCAGCTCCTCCTTGGACCTGGCAGGCAGGGCTGAGTGCGGGGAGCCAGGCCCGCCGCCGCCGTGGGACCCGCCGTGGGACCCACCATGGTCGTCGTGGTGATGGTCACCCCCCCAGGCAGCCCCAAACAGCACAGGGCAGATGTAGCCCTCCAGAACATCAAACGGGGAGCTGTGAGAGTGAGTGGCCGTCAGGAACACCTGAGATGGGGTGGCAGAGGGGCAGGGAGACAGCGAGAGAGACAGAGGGAGACCGAGGCAGAAAGCAAAGTGGGGGTGGGGGAAGGGAAGAGGGGAGAGAAGGTCAGAGGTAGCCTGGACCCACCCCTCTGGCTTTATGCACCCCCTGGAGGGTGATCAACTCTCCCAGGTTTCCCGGGATACAGAACTTCCGGTGTTGAAACCCAGATAGCATCGGGCACACATAGAAGGGTGATCTCTTGCCTTGCCTCAGGGGCCCCCCCACATCTGGGCGCAAAGAGGTTGTTCACTCCCTTCCCCTTTTCAATGGCCTATGGGTCCCCTCCCAGCCAGCCAGGAGCCGAGCTCCCCAGATGCACGGGGAAGGCAGTGTGGTCCCTGAAGGCCCCTCCTGGGTGAGCTAACCCCAACTCAAGGCCTCAGGATCAGATGAGCACCACGCCCAGTCTAGCCTGGGTCCCTGGTATCCTGGGTATGCCTTCCCTGAGTCTTGTCCCTCAGCTCTCCACTGCCAAGGCACGATGCCCCCCTGATTCTCCAGATGGATTCCATACACTCCCACCCCACTCTGAGGCTGGGCCCTGTGCCCACAAGGCCTTATTCTCCTTACCCAGCCCCCACCTGCTGGACACTCCTCTTATCAGACCTTCCTCCGATGCACGGACCTCTGGGCACCCCCTTCCCCAGCCTCCTGCCTTAGGACTGTCCTTTCTGGAACACAAGACTCTAAGCCGGAGCTCCTGGCCTGGGAGGTGGGGGTTGGGGTGGGGCAGAGCAGGAAGACCTACCTTACAGGAAACCATGAACATGGTGAAGATGAAGATGAGGCTGGCTTTGGACACCGGGAGCCAGCGGGTCTGCTGAAGGGTGAAGAGGATGGCTCCATACAGGCTGGCCTTTGTAGGGCTGCAGGGGGCAGCGTCTGTCACCGCGAGGCGCCAGCCGTGCAGCCCAGACCCCGCCTGCCCGCTGCCGGCCCCAGCTCACATCCCAGCTTCTCCTGAGTGTGAGGGGGGAAGATGCCCGCATGGCGTGGGTAAGGTGGTGGCTCCCTGTGCAGTAAAGGGTTAACATGGCCCCAAGAGAGGTTTTTCTTCCTTAACTTCCTTACAGGATAGGTTTTCAATATTTTAACTTGTTGCAGAAGACAGAAGACAGACCCGTGACTTGCGTTTCTAATGTTGGGGCGCCTGGGTGGCTCAGTCAGTTAAGCATCTGACTTCGGCTCAGGTCATGATCTCACGGTCCGTGGGTTCGAGCCCCACGTCGGGCTCTGTGCTGACAGCTCAGAGCCTGGAGCCTGTTTCAGATTCTGTGTCTCCCTCTCTCTCTGCCCCTCCCCAGCTCATGCTCTGTCTCTGTCTCAAAAATAAATAAAAACTATTAAAAAAAAAAAAAAGCCTAATGTCTGTTGAGCACGGCTGTCCTTAATGATGGTAATTCTGCTTGATATTTCCAAGGCACTCACCCGCCAGGTACCAGGGCCAGCAAGTCTACCCATGTAATTCTTTGGGGTCCTCACCCTCAGCTGATGAGGCAGAAAATGAATCCAAGAGGGGAAATCACTTGCCCACTTGGTGGCAGGTAACACAGCTGTCTGGGCCCCCGTTTCCTTGTTGGTGAACTGAGGGTGGGAATAGACCCCATGTGTGGTGAAGTGAGATCTTGCTCTTTTCCGAGGAGTGAAATGGGAAGTGATTTTCATTGGCATATGGGGGAGCCTTTCGATGTTGTCGTATTTTAATGGCCATGGCTTTATTTGTTGTAGATTGGGAGAAAATTTAACTAGCCCAAACCAGTTAGGTCTTTTAAAAATGTATAGGCTAAAGGGGTGCCTGGCTGGCTCAGTTGGTGGAATGTGTGACTCTTGATCTTGGGGTTGTGAGTTCGAGCCCCATGTTGGGTTTTAAAAATAAAATCTTAAAAAAAAACAACAATGTATAGGCTACATGGTCCTAGGTTGGGTCCTGGAGGCAGCCATCGGGCTCTGCGCATCTCATCCCAGCCACATTCCCTACCCACACGCTGTGTCATATTCTCTCTACTGACGCTCTGTACCCCCTGCTCTGTACTCCTCACTCCCCATCCATACTCTGCACCCTGACCCCGTGGAGCTGGGCAGAATCATTGCTCTTTTCTGATCTGACAGGTGGCAGACATGCTGGCCTCTGTCCAGAGGCTCCTCCCTTGCCAGAAAACTCCTACTCACTCTTCATAACTCAAGTCGAGTATCTCATCTCCCTGCAGCTCTGCCTGCCACCCCCCACCCCCCCCCCAGGAAGAGCCCTGGCTCCCCTTCAGCCTTGACCTCTGGAAGCTTCTGGAAGACAAAATCAGTGGCTGAGGCTTCCGAGTTACCAGGAGTATCCAACCCAGGGTCAGGCCCAAGAGGCACCTATGTGTACAGGAAGAATGAGGGGCAGAAATGGGATACTCACAAGGACATATGCAGGATCTCATTGGTCTCTGGCTTCCAGACCCCTCGGAGCAGCTGCTCAAAGTTGGACATGAGGGCGACGCCAGAGCCTACGAGACAGGGTGTTCCTGAATGAGCCTGCCACCTCCAGCTCCCCCATTTCTCTTGGCTGAATTCCCAAGGAAGCAGCTTCTCCAGAGGGACACGGAGCCTGGGTGTATGATCATCAGTTGCAGCAGGGAAACTGAGGCTCAGAGAGGGTCACATGGTATATTCGATGCAAAACTAGCATGAGGGAATTGAGGTCGTATCCCACCTGCGAGGTAGGTCTTGGACAAATCTGGGTTGTCTGCCCTGATGTCCCGAGGGAGTCCAGGATCCTGAGCTGTGCATAAGGCTTCCAGAAGGCTCCCTATCCCAGTCTCTCTCCTCCTCAGGGCTCTGAACTCTCAATCTTTCTTAAGCCACTTGCCCTCCAGGTGCAACACTATAACCCTAGGGAATTTGCTCTGTAGTACAGGCTTCCTGAAGAGTAAATAAGGAGACCCATATGAAGACATAAATGATTACAGTTCTAGAAGAATCTTTCCATTTACCCCAAATGTATCAGTTAAAGAGGTTGGACACCCACTCCAGGAATGGCTGTGCTAATTGAGGTGCCTGGTATGTACCACTGGACCAGGGGTTCAGAGCTGGAGTGGTTTTGCCTCTAAGGCATTTGGCATTTAGAAATATGTGGAAACATTTTTGGCTGTTGCAAGTGGGGAGGGGGCTGCTACTGGTCAGCTAAGGCCAGGAATGCTGCTCAACATCCTATGAAGCACAAGACAGCCTCCACCTCAGAGCATGATCCAGCCCCATGTGTCCATGGTGCAGAGTACACTGGAGCTCAGTGGAGGGTGATTCCAGGCCCTGGCATTTTGACAGTACACACTTTGGCATCAGGAATCACTGGATGAAGTGTCTAGTGGTGTTAGCACCTGCTTGAGCCTTCTTTCCCTGTCTTCCTTTCACTCCTTGGTCCACCTCTCCAACGATTATTGTCAAATTGTCTACTTCTTCTTTAACATCTCTCAGTTTTTGCTTTATATATTTTGGTGTTTATAGGAGCATATATGTTTATAATTGTTACATCTTCCTAGTGGATTGACCCAACGTTATAAAGTGCTCCTTTTTATTTTTAGTAACATTTTTTTGTCTTAAAGTCTATCTTGGTCTGCCTCTTAGCATAGCTAGAGGAAAGGGAAAAGGAGGGCTTCAAAGTAGTTAAGAATGTGGAGGTTGAATTCAGAGGACCTAGAGTCAGACCCAGCTGCACTCCTTTAGCTGTGTGACCGTGGGCAAGTCTGTGACTCCATCACCAACAGAATTCACAGATTTATTTCCTTTTCACATTCCCATTGTTGCAGATGGTTTCATAATATCATTTGTGCAGTACAGCACTCCAAAAGTTTGAGAATTCCCTATGCACTAGTGAGTGGTCTGTTATTTAATGCATTGGTAGAGATGTATAAAATTACTATGCCATATTAAAACTTTTTTTGATAACCATTTTGAAATAGTGGACCTCTTTTATATTATATATATATATTATCCTATATATTTTATGTTATGCACTTAAAAACATAAGGCTTTCCTGGACTCAAAAAGGGCCATGGTCCACAAAGGTTAAGAACCCCTATAGTTACAAGGGTGTGATTTCTTCTCCCGAAAGCATTTGACAACATCTGGAGATACTTCTGGTTGTTACGCTGGCGAGTGCCACTGACATCTGGTGGGAGGAGGCCAGAGATGCTGCTCTACATGTTACAGGGCATGCCACCCACCACAGAGGGTGATCTGGCACCAAATATCAATAGCGTTAGAGCTGAGAAAACCTGCGTGAGAGATAGCTGTCATTGTCTCGTTGTCCTATTTATCTTTGACAGTTAGAGTCTTTTTTTTTTTGATAGTTAAATTCTGGAAGAATCTTCCCATTTACTCTAAAGGCGTTGGCTAGGGGTTACCTGGGTGGCTTAGCCGGTTGTGCGTCTGACTTCAGCTCAGGTCATGATCTCACGGTTTGTGAGTTCGAGCCCCGCATCAGGCTCTGTGCTGACAGCTAGCTCAGAGCCTGGAGCCTGTTTCAGATTCTGTGTCTCCCTTTCTCTCTGACCCTCCCCTGTTCGTGCTCTGTCTCTCTCTCTCAAAAATAAATAAATATTAAAATTAAAAAAAAAATAAAGGTATTGGCTAAAGAGACTGGCCTGCCACAACAGTCCTGACACCCCTTAGCCTGGACCAATGTCCAGGGCTTCTCAACTGAGGTGATTTTTCCGTCGTTATCATGGTCCTGCTTACCTTTGACCCAGCCAGTGGCAATCATGACGAACCACCCGTGGTGATAGTGGTGATGGGCGTGATGGATACCCACGGCGATCTTTCGGACTCTCACTACCTCCTTCATGGCCACAAATATAAGTTTCACAGGCAGGAAGCAGACACACTTGTAAAAGAGGTCCAGTGGGCAGAAGAAAATCAAGTACCTTTGGGGAGAGAATGCGGAGCGTCAGGGGGAGACAGACCGTGGGGGTCCCTGGGAGGTTATGTCCAGACCCGAAGAGCAGTGTGTTCAGGTCCACAGTGGAGGTTGTGCTGATGCGTCCTATTTCCTCCGCCTTCCACCTCCCAGGTGGCTGGGCCACCCCTGCCCCCGGCCCTGCTCTCCCACACCCCACCAGCCAGTGCTTACCAGACGGCTGAGGCCAGCAGGACGCTGGAATTGTTGCTGAAGTAGTCGATCAGGGGCTCCCCGAGGAGCAGATCCGCCAAGATGTAACTCCCAAAGCAGTGCAGCATGGCACACAGCCAGGATGCCATGGGGTGGCGCCGGGACAGCTCGACTGCTCCTGGGGGGAAGGGGGGTGTCCCCCACCATCACCAGGCTGCCAAGGGCATGCTTTGTCCCCATGCCCTCTGGTCAGCTTCTCCTAATTCAGCTGCCTTTGCAGAGCGCCCGCCCAATGCCTTGCAGCTCGCCCATTTCAGAGGAAGAACCCAGGCTCAGAGAGGCTGGACCCATGCCTGAGGTCACACGGAGGAAAGGCAGAGCTGGGTCGGGCCTCTTTCCTCTGGGCTCAGAGAGGTGGCAACGATGGTAACACCAGCTCCCAGTTAGCAGGCGCTTCTGGGTCTCAGATGCTGGGCTTACATTTGTATGAAGGACTCTTAAATCCTCATTGATAACCACAGTCCAGTGATCGCTTCCTGGCGTGACAACTATTTTGTCATCTTGATTCCTTCCCTCCCCCACTGGTTTCATTTTCCAGATAATGCTTTTAGGAGTGAGTTGTCAGGCAGAGCCACTCAGCTCCCACGGCCAGTGCAGATACCAAAAACTCCCCTTGAACAATTCGCTTGAATCCAATGACAAGTCCACTCAGTGTGGAAGTGAAATGACAAAGTTACAAGCCATCTATTAATCAAAAGACGAATCAAAATAAATGATCCATTCGGGTTTGGGTTTTTTTAAAAAAATTTTTTAATGTTTTATTTATTTCTGAGAGAGAGAGAGACAGTGTGAGCAGACGAGGGTCATAGAGAGAGGGAGACACAGAATCCGAAACAGGCTCCGGGTTCTGAGCTGTCAGCACAAAGCCCAACGCGGGGCCTGAACTCACAAACTGTGAACCAAAGCCCAAGTTGGACGCCCAACTGACTGAGCCACTCAGGTGCCCCGAGGGTAGTATTCACCTTTGTCTTCCATGATAGGAATAGATCACAAGGTATTTATCCATTCTCTTTTTTTACTAAAAATTTTTTTAATGTTTATTTAGTTTTGAGAAAGAGAGAGCACACAAGTGGGGGAGGGACAGAGAGAAAGAGGGAGACACAGAATTGAAAGCAGGGCCAGGCTCTGAGCTGTCAGCACAGAGCCCCCATGCGGGGCTCGAACCCACAAACCATGAGATCATGACCTAAGCTGAAGTCGGACGCTTAACTGACTGAGCCACCCAGGCGCCCCTATCCATTCTCTTGCACAAACTATACTTTATAATCAGGAAACGTGACTCATAAAAGCTGTTTGAGAGGAAGTCTTGAACATACTCCCCTTTCCCTTTTCCTCCCCTACCAACTAACCGTGTGACTTTGGACAAACCGTTTTTCCTCTGTGTCTGGCTCCTATGAGGTGTGAACCCTAATCCCCTCTTTGCCCAGCTAACAAGGGCTGGGATCGAATTTTCCCTCCTCCCCCTGAGGTTACAAGCCCAGAGTACATTTTCTCCCCGCCCTCAAGGTTGTCCTAAGTCTCAGCATTTACAAAGGTCCTACAGTTTGAGGCAGAATATTCTCTCCTCTTCTCTGGGGCATCTATTTAAAATGCAGCCAGCTGAGAGTTAATCCTTCGGAGCAGCTGGTGGGTCCAGCAGGAGCCGGGTCAGGTGAGGCACCCATGTTTTGCAGAAATGGATACCTCTGCATCTAAAAATAACCCCAAGGGGTTGAATTCTATCCAGGGTCATTCTTGTGCCCTCTGGGACCATCCCAGGGACTGAGGCCAGGGGGTGAGGGGAGGGGCTTTTGTGGGAGTAAAGCAGGCTCCCGTGGGTGAGTCCTGGTAGAAAAGTCACAGGCCCACGGTGGCCTTGGGGAAATGACTGCTTCCCACTAGCCTCAGCTTCCTCTGTTTTCAAAAGAAGAGATGAGAGCGCCCCTTTCTCAAGCTGTATGGATGATTCAGTGCAGTGTGCAGGATTATCAACATGCTTCTTAGCGTTATCAACCTTAGTGATCTCAGGATGGGTCTTCCCATTGCTACAGATGAGAAGACTGAGGCAGGCTGATAGGGGATGGGTCTACCCTGAAGATCCACAGCAAGGTGGTGGCTGAGAACCTTCCCTCAGGCTCTTTCCCTTTGCCATATTCCTTCCTGGCTTCTCTTGCTGGGTTTTGGGGCGGCATTAGGAACCAGGAGAATGTGGGCTGCAATCCAGGTTTGCGTCTCCTCTCGCTTGGTGAGCTTTGGCTAGTCACTCCTCTCTCCGGGGCCTCAACTGGTGCATTTGTGTATACCCGGGGGGAGGGGTGCTGTCTAGAGTGACTGACCACTCCGGGCGTGCCAGGGATCCAGGGCCTCCTGGGACATGGGACTTTTGATGCTTGTTTCAATTGAACCTGGGCAAGGTGGTCATCCCCGTGCTCTTATTCATTTCAAAGGGTGCCAGTGAGGACGAAAAGAAATTATTGCTTCGTGCTTAGCAATTATGCAAGAGTTATTCCTGGAACTGGATCTGAAATGGAAAGTACCTGTGGGTGGAAATTTTAGCTGATGGATTTATAAAAATCAGCTCTGCCTTAGGAGGGAGGAGGAAGCTCCCCTTGGGTCCCTCGTTCTGGCCTGGGATGGGCAGCATGCATGACCCTCCCTCTCCGGGGGTCGGTGTCCTGTCTATGGATGGCAGGGAAGCACTGGAAGGTTCCACGGGGCACTCTCAGCACTGCCATGGTTCTGCACTATTTAGTCTGAGGTCAAAACATAAGAGATGTATTGACAGATTCTCAGTGACTTAAGGGCAAGCCTTCTTCTGAGTCTTCAAGCTCAGCCACCTGCCTTGGTTTTTTCCCCCTGTGACAGACAGCAGCCCCTGTGTCACAAGGGTGGAGGACAGGCAGCTCTCTGCCCTCGAAAAGCTTACAGTTTATGCCCGAGGTCTCAAAACAGGGGTCAAGGAGCTGTCTCTTGAGCCCCACAGCATTCTAGAAAATGTTAAAACTGCAACAAAGACATCTTTCAGTAGGCAAATAATGAAACGATGGTGCATACACACCATGGGATCTTATTCAGAGATAAATAGAAACGAGCTCTCAAGCCAGCAAAAGACATGGAAGAGCCTTAAATGCAAGTTGCTACGTGAAAGAAGCCAGTCTGAAAAGGCTATATGCTATACGACCCCAATACTACAACGGTCTGTGGAAGGCAAAACTATGGAGACAAAAAAAAAAAAAAAAAAAAAAAATCAGTGGTTGCCAGGGTTTGGGGGAAGGGGCAGGAAGATTACGTGGGGCTTGGAGAATTTTTAAGTTAATGAAACTTATCTGTATGATACTATAATGGTGGATATGTATTGTGCATCTGTCGAAATCCACAAAGCGTACAACACAAAGTGACCCTAATGTAAATTATAGACTGTGGTGGGTAAGATGTATAGTGGTAACAATAGCAATGTGGATAATGACGTTGGTTTGTTGATTATAACAAATGTACCTGTCTGTGCAGAATGTTGATGGTGGCGGAGGTCAGAGAGTAGATGGAAACTGTACCTTCAGCCTAATTTTGCTGTGGATCTAAAACTGTTCTAGAAAAAAGTCTATTATTATTATTATTTATTTATTTATTTATTTTTTAAAATATTTTTATTTATTTCTAGGAGAGAGAGAGAGAGAGACAGCGTGAGCAGGGGAGGGTCAGAGAGAGAAGGAGTCACAGACTGAAACAGGCTCCAGGCTCTGAGCTGGCAGTCAGCACAGAGCCCGACGCGGGGCTCGAACCCACAAACCGCGAGATCATGACCTAAGCGAAAGTCGGACGCTTAACCGACTAAGCCACCCAGGCGCCCCTATTATTATTTATTTTTTTAAGTAGGCTTCATGCCCAGTGCAGAGCACAACACGGGGCTTGAACTCACGACACTGAGATTGAGATCTGAGTTGAGATCAAGAGTCGGATGCTCAACCAGCTGAGACACCGAGGTGCCCCAGTCTATTAATTTTCTAAAAAGAAAAAAAAAATGTTTGAACAGCCAATGTATAAACAGAGAGGGCTGCAAATCACCTTTCTAGCTTCCCTTGAAAAATCACTTCCGGTGGTTCAAGCCCCAGTCAGGTGAAGATGTGCGTGGTTGGGTCTCACCTGGGGACCGTCCCCACCTGGCTGGCTTACTGCTTCCCATCTATCACGTGCCTGGCCCTTGAAAGCATTGGAGTTTTGAGACTCAGTCTACATCACAGGCTTTCAACTGGGGGCAATTACATCTGGGGATGTTTCTGATTGTCACAACTGGTGTGTGCCGCCAGCATCTAGTGGGTTGAGCCAGGGATGCTGTGAAATATCCTGAAATGCATGGGATGGCCTCCACCACGGGGAATGACCTGGCCCTAACTGTCATTTGTGCACAGGTTGGGCAATACCGGGGCACAGAGTTGATTCTCATCTGGGGAACTTAAAGAAAACACTGATATTGAGACCATGCACAGAGATTCTGATTTAAATGGAGGGGTGCTGCAAGAACAAGAGGATTCTTAAAAGCTCCCCAGGTGAGTTTCATGTGTAGGCTTATTTGAGAACCACTGGTCTGGAAGGTTCTTGGGCTAGGTCAAGGCTTAAAGTATCCAGGACTATCATTCATTCATCATTCAATCATTCGGTCAAGCAACCTATATCCACTGCTTCCTCTTCTCTTCCTGCATAAGCTAAGGGTCCCGGAGGTGAGCAGACCTGGTCCTCCCTGCCCTGCTGAGAAGCTCCGGGTCTAATAAGAAGATCCTGCCTCTTTTAGACCATGACTTCTCTTTTTTTTAGATCTTTATTTATGTTTTGAGAAGAGGAGACAGAGGGCAAGTAGGGGAGAAACAGAGAGAGGGAGACACAGAATCCAAAGCAGGCTCCAGGCTCTGAGCTGTCGGAACAGGGCCGATTGTGGGGCTTGAACTCACGAACCACAAGTTCATGACCTGAGCTGAAGTCGGATGCCTAACCGACTGAGCCATCCAGGAACCCCAGACCATCACTTCTTAAATATTATGCAGATTCTGATTCGGCAGGTCTGGGGAGGGGCGTGGGTACCTGGCATTCTGCATTTCTTTTTTTTTTAACGTTTTATTTATTTCTGAGAGAGAGAGAGCGTGAGCAGGGGAGGGTCGGGGGGTGGGTGGAGATACAGAATCCGAAACAGACTCCAGGGTCTGAGCTGGTTGTCAGCACAGAGCCCGATGCAGGGCTCGAACCCACGAACCGTGAGATCATGACCTGAGCCAAAGTCAAACACTTAACCGACTGAGCCACCAGGTGCCCCTCTGCATTTCTTAACCAGCTCCCAGGGGACGCAGAAGCTGTTCACCTGAGGACCTCACTCCGAGCTTTGTCCTCATTCAGGATTCTCATGAAAGCCTGACCCAGAAAATGCCTGCATCTCAGGAAACACAACATCCCACGGCCTTACAAATAATTCTAACTACCTCTCACAAGCGCCTTAGACCCTACTACTGACAAAGGTCTCAATAGATCTTCACAACAGCCAGCCAGAAGAGTCCAATATTACGTTCCAGTGAGCCCATTTCATAGATGAGTGAGCTGAAGAAGCTCTCAGAGGCGCAAGTCACCAGCCTGGTGTTTCCTCAGTGGTAGATGCAGAACTGACTCCTAATCCAGAGATTTTTCCTAAAAGCCAACTTGGCTGTTGGCTTCACAGGTGCGCTTGCTGTGTGGCTGCCCAGGACCCTCTGCTCAGAAGGGCCCCACATTCAGTTTAGTGCTTTGCTGTCACTGTCCTGAAATTCTTAATTTCTAAATGAGGGGCCCCGAAAATTCTATAGCTGGTTCTGCAATCAGCACTTAGATACTGAGAAGAAACCTTTATAGAGGCTCAGCAGGACCACCAAACCGGAGGGCTAACAGCTAGGTCCAATACCTCCCTTTTTTAAGGGGAAGCAATTCTAGTGATTTCCGGGGTCAGGCAGACCTGGGTTTGAATCCCAAGGTTGTCATCTACCAGCCATGTGACCATAGGCTCATTGCATATGTAAATTGCCTTAGTCACTATTTCCTATTTCCCCAGTTGCAAATGGAGGGGGTTGAACTGGGCATGGGGTTCTCAATCTTGGCAGCGCACAGCAATCACTGGGGAGGAGAGCCTGAAACATGAGCATGGAGGGCCCTTTCCCAGATCTTCTGATTCAGTTTATCTGGGGTGGAGACAAGATGGGGGCTTAAGAGGCCCCAGGAGCCTCTGATAAGCAGCTAGGGTTCAGAACCGTTGAACCTTCCCAATCTTCAGGAACCTTCAGGCTCCAGTACCTCCAGTTCAGATGACTTACTCTGTGACTGGCAAAAACATCTCCACCCTTCTTGCAAGCTCCTGGCCAGCCTGAAGTCCTCTTTCTTCCAGACCCTGTGTCTTACATTGCTAACGGGCCTCCTGGCTTCCATGTTTTTGATATCCCAAGGTGTGCCAGGTTCTGTACTCGCCTAGGGACTGGACTGAGCCACCAAAAATTCGTCCCGGACAGGAAACACAGCCCTGTGTTCAGCCTAAGACAATACAAAGCTTATTTTGCTTTGCAAAGTAACTGATTTCAGAACAGCTTTTAGAGAACAGGCTCTGGCTTGTGGATGGGCAAAAATAAAATGGAACAAAAACACTTGGCAAGCAGAGTATGATCCCATTTGCATAAAATCATGCTTTTACATCTCTACAGGGCTATAAATGCATAGAGGAGAGGTCTGGAAGGGTCGACAATACATCCACTGTAATTATCTCTTTTTCCTTCCTGTTTCTCAGCTTGATTTTCTTAAATATACAGAAGCACCTATTTTTATCATCTGAAAATAAAAGCTATTTCAATTCCGCCAGAAGAATATAGAAGTGATTTCATCTAAGTGGGAGAAAGTTTTGGGATGACTGATCCCTTTCTAACGCTAAATTCTCTAGTCCCTTTCGTTCGCTGGTGTGCTATAATAGTTAAAACACTAGGAGAGAACAAGAAACATTGGGTGAGCCTTGTGTAAAAATAGAACACATTCTAAGGAGGCTATTTACCATTCTTTAAAAAATGTCTTTAAAAGACCCAAGAAGCAGAGTCTGTCTTTTCTCTAGCGATTCTCCACGGGGGTCTGGAGCTGTCGGGTGTACGCTAACCCCGAATCACCCTGCCCTAGGGCCGGTTCTGCTCAGTAAGTGGAAAGGATCGGCGCCAGGCTGTGAGAATTCCTGCCGGGCGCGGAGACCCAGCTTCGCTCCGCGGGAGGAGGAGGGGAGGTTGCCCGAGGGCCGCAGCGTAGAGGGGGCATCGGTGTCACTTTCTCTCAACCGGATTACTACCCCCAGCACGGCCGGCCCTTACATAGACACTCAGCAGCCGCTCGGGCTCCGCGCGCCAAGGGCAAGAGGGGAGGTCAAGGCTGCCGCCGGGCGGCCAGGACATCTGGACTGGCCTGCAGCGCTGACCCCCGCCTGCGCCCTCACCAAGACCTACGCCGCTTGGCCAAGTTCATATGCCCATGCCAGGACCTCTGACCTTCTCTCCCTGCCCCCTCCCCAGCACCTGTTCCCCCTTCTCTGAACAATCACGTTCCTCTCCTGCCCTTTTGCCGGCATCTGCTCCCCCTCCCCCAGCCTCACAATCCCGGGGGCTACTCTCCTTGCCCTCCCTCGTCTCTCCCCATCCCCGCCGCCCACCCCATGTGGAAGAACCGCATGGCCCCAGCACCTGCTGCTCCCTGGAACCAGTCTCTCGGACTGTCCCCCCAGGATCTAGGGCATACCCCGCCTCGGACCCGCAGATTTATACCCCCGCCCCGCAATGCCAGCCCCCGCGGGCTCCTGGCCCTGGCTCACCTGGCTCATACTTGAGGTAGAGAATGGAGACGATGAAGTAGCTGAGGTCGAAGACGGGGAAGAGCGGCACCCGCGAGAAGCTGAGCGCCAGCTCGCCTAGGCTCAGCGCCGAGAGCAGCTCCATGGCGCCCACCGGGTCCCACCCCAGCCCCCGGCCCAGTAAGTCCCGCAGCCCGCGGCCCGGCGACTGCGCCCCCGCCGCTGGGCCCGCCCCCGCCCGCCAGGCGCCGCCCCCAACCCGGCCCCCGCGGGAGAGGAGGGACTGCCCCTGGCCCCGGGGCGGGTCGCGGGGCCTTTCTGTCCCACAAAGCCTAGTCGGGTGTCCCCTACTCTGTCCCTCGGGCCATCGCGACCCCATGCAGCCAAGCGAGGGGGGTGCAGGGTTCCCTGTGGTGTGCTTTGGACAGGGTAGCTGTCCCTTGGTGGGGGAGGGGTTCCTTCCAGCACGGAGCCCACCAAGGCGGGACGGGTCGGTCAGGACCCTGTCCAATGGGACTCGATTAGGATCCATGTGGAGCCCTTAGATCAGGACCTGCGTCCTCTGTGGGGCCCGGGCAGTTGTGAACCCCATCTTGCCGTATCCTAGAGGGTCAAGACCCCAGTTCTCTGTGGAACTGTCATGACCCTAGTTCTCTATGGGGCTCTGTAAGTCATGATCTCCATTCCTCACGGGGATCCCTGTTCTCCGAAGGGACAGCTAAGTTGGGACCTCCGCCCCCCGTAGCGCCAGCCTAGTGGGGATCCCCGACTTCCACTGGGCCCAGGAGGAACCCCCCCCGCCCCAGGCATCCGTGCCTAGAGAGCCCACTGCATCAGGGCCCATTTCCCTGTGCATCTCAGTGGTCAGGAGGCCCGGTTTCTCCAGAAGTCGCATCGGAGACCCCAGCCCAGAAGCTAAAGCTACTGCGGTTAATTCTCCAGCGCGGCACGCCTCCAGTGCGTAACCTGATACTGCCGAGATGACCCCGCCCCCAGATGACGTCACACCACCGCCCCGCCCTTTCTTCAATACTCTCGGGGCCTCCCGGAGAAAAGGGGCGCCTGTTCTTTCCTAAAGGGGCCAGGCCTGCAGGGGGCGGGACCCTGCATGTCTTGGCCTTCGATTGGACCAGCCCTCGCCTGCGCGGCTTCCAGATTAGTCGGCTTGTGCTCCTCTCCCCGCCCTCTTCGAGGCTTCCGCTTCCGGTCCTGACGGACGCTTCGGCTGTAACGATGATCGGGGACGTCCTGCTGTTCGGGTAATTAGGGGGGCCGGAGGCTGGGGTAGGAAGGCTAGGAGGGACAGGGGGAGGCCTAGGTAACCTCATTCTCCCTTCGCAGGACGCTGCTGATGAACGCCGGGGCGGTGCTCAACTTTAAGCTGTGAGTAGGCCGCTTTGGATCGCGGCTCCACCCAGGGGACCCGTAGGCCCGCCCCCGCGAGCGTGAGCCCGCCCCCTGTCGTAGGCCACGCCCCCAAGGCCCAGCCAGCCCTCTGGCCACGCCTCCATCCTGGTCTGTCCTTGGGTGACCCTCCGCTCCACAGTGACTTGAAGTCGAGACTCTTCGTTTCCCGGGGATCTCACTTGCATCCTGGAGAGCCTCGGGCCGCTCCCCCAAAAGCTCTTAGCCTTCTGTACCCACAGACTAACCTCTCCACCTTCGTGGCTGCAGGTCTTGCTGTGATTGCCGGGTAGGTGGTGGCCCAGAAAGGGGCGTTGAACCACCCGAGGTCACACAGCAAGTCCGCCGCAGGGCTAGAGCTGAAACTGGGTGTCCGAGGCCCTCTGAGCTGGGGGTCAGGGCCAGGGGACTGAGTGGCCTTTGTGTCGCGCCGAAAGTGGACACTGTTTGTTCCTCTTTGTAGGAAAAAGAAGGACACGCAGGGCTTTGGGGAGGAGTCGAGGGAGCCCAGCACAGGTAAGGCCTCCTTTCTGGACTCGGAAACTGGTCCATTTCGGAGAGGACAGTTTGTTCTTACCAAGCCCTAACTCAGTTTTCTTTTTAAGTGTGTGTGTGTGTGTATGCGAGAGAGAGAGAGAGAGAGAGAGAGAGAGAGAGAGAGAGAAGCCTGAGGATGTGCTGTTCCTTCTGCTCACCTATCCGCCCTCTTTATCCTGCTGAGCCTCCCCGCAAAGGTCAGAACTCACATAACTTCATACAGTTAGAATTTTCCTTTATGTATGATATTATGTGGCTAATATTTGCCCCTCACACCTCCTCCAGCTTGTTTGGGCCCATTTCTGTGCCCTTTTGGTGTCAGTCTTCCTGCATGAATGAATGAATGAATGAATGAATGAATGTCTTCCTGCATGAATGAATGAATGAATGAATGAATGAACGAACGAATGAAGAACGAACGAACAGCCTCACGAGTAGCTATTGCTTTCAGAGTACTGCAGACCTGGTGTTTCTTTTTCATTTTTTTTGAATCAGATGCCAACATTAGCTTTCAGATAAATCAGATGTCACATAAAAATCCAGTTGTCTGAATTTTCAAGAAAAATCTTCAAGAAAAATCTGAATATCCTACAGCTCAGGGTTCAAGCAATCTCTTAGCACCTGTTGGGTGAAGTTGAGTAAAAACAGGACCCCGTTCAGGCAGGGCCTGTGGCCTCTCCCTCATCCCAGCCCCAACCCCCTCATTTAAAAAAAAATTTTTTTTTAACGTTTTTATTTATTCTTGAGAGAGAGAGACAGAGCATGAGCATGGGAGGGACAGAGAGCGAGGGAGACACAGAATCTGAAGGAGGCTCCAGGCTCTGAGCTGTCAGCACAGAGCCTGATGTGGGGCTCGAACTCACAAACCTGAGCTGAAGTCAGACGCTTAACTGACTGAGCCACCCAGGTGCCCCCAAGCCCTCATCTTTATATCGTCTCACCCGCCTGGCCTCTGGAGGCGCTAGAATGGACACTTTTGCTGAATTTATTCATGGGACTCATTGAGACATGAGACGTGCACATGACTACTATGTCCGTACATTTATTCACCAAGCGTTACTGAGCACCAGCCACATGTCAGCCACTGTGCTGGGGACACAGCAGGGAACAAGACAGATGTGATTCCTGTCTTGTGAGTTGTCTCCTCTGGGGTGGGGCAAGCAGTTCCGAAACAAGGCACGAGCCGTGATGGAGGTGACGTCAGGTGAGGCTAGTGACGGAGTTGCTACTTCAGCTGGGGTGTGTGGAGGGAAGGCCCTTTGAAAGGGTGGCGTTGCAGCCAAGGTGGTGGGTGCCACAATGGAGTGTTGCTTACGGAAGATAGGAACCCTGAGGGGCAGTGACTTTGATGGCAGTCTGGCAGCTCGCTTTTATTGGGGGCCCACCTGGTGGTGGCTGCCTCGTTAGGTACTTCCTATGGGTATTTCCCTCCACCTCCACCCCTGAAAGGTAAAGGGCATTTTCCCATTTTACAGATGAGGAAACTGAGGTTCAGCCTTGTGGCTTGACTTGCTTGTGGTCAAGTGACAGCCTCCTGATCGGAACCTGGGTTTTTCAGATCCCACAGGTGGTACCCTCCGTCACTAGACTATCCACCCATTCACTCTTTTGTTCATACATCCATTCATCAATTCATTCAGCAGCCGTATATATTGCTTACCCACCCTGTGGAAGGTACTATACCAACTCCTGGCACTGTGGTCTACAGATCTAGATCAGAGGTGGGGTGGGTAGGAGAGTAGAACGGCTTGGTGGTGGTGAGAGGGTCTGTGACAAGGACAGTCACAACAGTGGCTTCCCTGTGATCAGGGGCTCTGTGCACGTCTCCTTCCAGCCAATAGTCTTGTGCTTGCTGCTGACACTGCAGAGAATGCCCCTCTCCCTGTGCCTGGCCGACCCCCGATACCGTAGTGGCCGCGTGTGTTGAGAGCCTATCTCCCCCATTTACCCAGGAGGAAACCGGGGCAAATATATGCCAGGGACTTACCCAGGTCACTTGTGTGGAAGGGCAGTAAACTCCTGCCCATGTTTAAGGTCGGAGCTTAGGCACTTCCTCGACGCTTCTCATGCCCACCTCCCAGCATGGGCTAGGTTGGGGCCCTCATCCTGTGCTCCTGTGGCACTTGTCATGGTGACTAATCAGGTGTGTGATTACTTGTTTGGTATCTGTCTTCCATGTGAGCTCCTTAGGGCAGGGATACCTGTCTCGCTCCTCCCTGTATCCCCGGCACTTGGCTGCTGCTGCCTGGAAGAAGTGGCCTTCTGTTAGCACGTGGCGAAGGCAGCAGAGCCTGTTTTTGCAATGCTGGGCTTGCAGAAGGGCCTTGCCACGCGGCGCCTCTCAGCCATCCTGAGGATGGCCCCGTGTTTGACATGGGCCATCCAGGCTGAGCTGCACGTGATATCCCATGGGGTGAATGACACCGGACTCCTCTAAACCGTGTTCAGCAAGACTGTGTGCTCATCTGGTGCTTGGATGGGACAGCGATGCCCAGTGGCTGTCGTGTCGAGTGGCTGTGTGTGTTTCTGAGCTCCTTGCCTGGTATTCCCTTTTACTCAGTAGACAGCCCCCGGTCTGTAGGTGACATCTTGGGTAGCGCCCTTGCAGGTTACCCAACATGGACCCGCTCATTTTTCATTCTGGAGGATTCGTGAGGGAGGGTGATTGACTTAAAAACCCTGAAGGAAGGTTCTGGAACCCACATCTCTGGAGTCTTATCGTACTGGATTGTTTCCTCTCGGACTGGGTTCCATTCGGTGGTTTCAAGGGCTAGAGTGAGTCATCATCAAAGCAGAACTCCCCTTCTACGTGCCTGAATTAGTGGCTTTTTCAGCTGCAGACACTGAAAACCCAGCCCAGAGTGGTTAAGGCAAATTGATCCCCCTCCGAGGACAGAACTGTTCTCAGGCACAGGTGGATTCAGGGCTCTTCCCGGCCGCCCTGCGTGCAATCTTGTTGTCCTTCTGAGTCGGTTGTTTTTACGAAGGTGGCCCTAGACCAGGGCTTGGCTCATTTTTCTGTAAAAGGCCAGATCTAAACATTTTAGGCTTTGTGGGTCACGTATTCTCTCTCTTTCTTTTTAGTGTTCATTTACTTACTTTGAGAGGGAGAGAGTGTGTGCGCATGTGCAGGGGTGGGGGGTAGCAGAGGGAGAGGGAGACAGAATCCCAAGCAGGCTCTGCGTTGTACTCACACACTGGGAGACCCTGACCTGAGCTGAAACCAAGAGTCCTACATGGACTGAGCCCCCAGGCGCCCCCGTGGGTCACACCTTCCCTGGTGCCACATCTCAGCTCCGTTCCTTTTTTTTTTTTTTTTAATTTTTTTAATGTTTTATTTCTAAGAGAGAGAGAGAGAGACAGCGTGAGCAGGGGAGGGTCAGAGAGAGGGAGTCACAGACTCTGAAACAGGCTCCAGGCTCTGAGCTGGCAGTCAGCACAGAGCCCGACGCGGGGCTCGAACCCACGAACCGCGACATCATGACCTAAGCGAAAGTCGGACGCATAACCGACTAAGCCACCCAGGTGCCCCATCAGCTCCGTTCCTTGAAAGCAGCCATGGCAAATACAGACATACCTTGTTGCATTGTGCTTTGCAGATAATGGTGTTTTTTTGCAAACCGAAAGTGTGTGGCAACCCTGAGTGGGCAGGGCTGTTGGCACTATTTTCCCAACAGCATTTGCCCACTTTGTGTGTCTGGCATATTTTGGTAATTCTAGCAATTTTTCAAACTTTTTCATTGTTAAATTTGTTATGGTGCTCAGTGGTCCGTGATTATGATTTGCTGAAAGTTCAGATGATGGTTAGCATTTGTTAGCAATATTTTTTTTGAGAGAGTGCACGTGCGCTCACTGGGGAGGGGTAAAGGGAGGAGAAACTTTTTTTTTTTTTAATTTTTAATGTGTGTTTATTTTTATTATTATTTTTTTAATGTTTTATTTATTTCTAGGAGAGAGAGAGACAGCGTGAGCAGGGGAGGGTCAGAGAGAGAGGGAGTCACAGACTGAAACAGGCTCCAGGCTCTGAGCCGGCAGTCAGCACAGAGCCCGACGCGGGGCTCGAACCCACGAACCGCGAGATCATGACCTAAGCAAAGGTCGGACGCTTAACCGACTAAGCCACCCAGGCGCCCCAAATGTGTGTTTATTTTTGAGAGAGAGAAGAAACAGTGCGAGCAGGGCAGGGGCAGAGACGGGGAAACACAGGAGCCTAAGCTGGCTCCAGGCTCCGAGCTATCAGCACAGATCCCAACACGGGGCTTGAACTTACAGACTGTGAGATCATGACCTGAGCTGAAGTCGGCCACTTAACCGACTGAGCCACCCAGGTTCCTGGGAGACAGAGAAGCCTAAGTAGGTTCCATGCTCCACGTGGGGCCCGATGTGGGGCTTGATCTCCGGACCCTGAGATCATGACTGGAGCTGAAATGCAGAGTTGGACGCTTAACTGATTGAGCCACCCAGGCACCCCAGCATTATGTATGTTTTTAAAGTTTATTTATTTTGAGAGAGAGAGAAGGGATGAGGCAAAGAGAGAGGATCCCAAGCCGACTCCACACTGTCAGCATGGAGCCTGATGTGGGGGGTCAAACTCCCGAACTGTGAGATCATGACATGAGCCGAAACCGGGAGCCAGATGGTTGCTTAACCTACTGAGCCTCCGCATCCCAGTGGTATTTTTAAAATTAATGTATTTACATTATTTTTTAGGTGTAATGGTGCTGCATACCTAATAAACTATAGTGTAGTATAAACATAAGTTATATATACACTGGGAAACCAAAAAAAATCATTTGACTTGCTTTATTGTGGTGGTCTGCAGGGTTTGCCTATATATAAATGAGGGGGCGTGGGTGCATTTTGATTAACTTTATAGACCCTGAAATGTGAATTTTATTCAGTTTTTGTGTCTCACAAAATATTCTGTTGATTTTTCTTTAACCGTTAAAAGGTATCAAAGATATTGTTAGCTTATGGGCCACATAGAAACAGGTGGGAGGGGTTTTTGCCAACCCCTGACCCAAAGGGCTGGGCTGACAACTTCTTCGCCCAGAAAGGGGGACAGAAAGCAAATGCCTCTTGGGGGATGGGCATGGAGGAGGGCACTTTGGGGATGAGCACTGAGTGTTATGTGGAAACTAATTTGACAATAAACTATTTGTAAAAAAATAAAAAAAAAATTAAAAAAATAAAAATAAAAATCAGGTGATCATCACTAATTCATAAAAAAAAAAAAAAAAAAAAGAAAGCAAATGCCTCTTTCCTAGTAGTTGGGATAAAAGTCCCAGGACTGACTCTCATTGGGTAGCCTTGGGTCACATGTTCCTCCCTGAGCCAATCAGAGGATGGAGGCTAGGAGCTCTCAGGGGTTGGTCAGTGACAGCCACTGCCCGAATGGGGAGCGGAGGCGACCCACAGGGAAAGCCGTGCTGCCCCTGGAATGTGGGGCAGTGGGGTGGGGGCGGGTGGAAACTGCAGAACACATTGCGCCGCGACAGCAGACATGTGAGCAGCGCCTGCAAGAATGCTTTTCTGACTTTCCAGGTGACAACATCCGGGAGTTCCTGCTGAGCCTCAGATACTTCCGGATCTTCATCGCCCTGTGGAATGTCTTCATGATGTTCTGCATGATCGTGTGAGTCCAGCCTGCCTGTCCCCTTCATTGTCATCCTCAGTGCCGCTCTCCCGATTGACCCACCCGACGGTCATCCTTTGCCTCTGTGGTCGGCACTTTTGCCTCACGCTTTCTGCTTTCAAAAGAAGACCTCTCCGGGCTGGAGAGGAAACGTGGGTCTACAAAGAGGAAACGTGTCGCTGTGTTCGAGTCCGGAGTTTTGATTGGAACATGGTGTTCTCCAAGCCCTGGCTGTTCCTGGTGCCTCGGTGAAGGCTGCCGAGAGGTCCCTTCCCTCGAGCCGTGGCCCTGTCCCCTCTTGCGTCTACTTGGCGTCTGCCGAGGTGGAAAGTGTGGTTTGTGGCTGGTGTGCTGCTGGGTCCTGCGTCCTCCCCTGCTGGAAGCCAGCAGTGTGTTTCAGACCCTTTTCGGTTTCCATGCCCATTTTTCATTGCCTCATTAGGCTTAACAAATCTAATCGGATCGGTTTTGCTTCCGGCAGCGGGGCCTTGATTTTGATGCTGCTATTAATAAACTGTGAGACTCCTAGTAAACAGACCCAGGGGAAAAATAGTAGGAGAGATTTCTGGTGTTCTTGTCCATGCTGGTCCCTTACATCACCCTCAAGAAGGAGAAAAGGAGAAGTCGACTGTCCTGAGTAACTGAGATGTTGAATTTAGGGTTTTTGGGGGCACCTTGTGCCAGCCCAGTGGCTGTTGAGATGATTCCAGGACTTAGGAGATGCGGGGCAGGGGGGGTCTCACTGTGCCACTGAAAAGTGTTTCAGAGCCGGGAGTGAGGACCGTGATGTATGCCCAGAGAAGGCCTTTTTTTAGGAGCTTGGTTGAGGCCTGTCCAGGTCCAAAGAGGGCTTGTGAAGAGATCAGGGAATTTGCAGAAGAGTGTGGGAAGCATAACTCAGATTCACAGGAGGTAGAACAGTGTTGGGGGTGCTCTAGCCTTGATCTTTCCACGTTCCCACCCATTCATTCATTCATTCATTCACAACTATCCAGCATGGGCTGTGCCTTGGGCTTATAGCTGAGACCAACACAGCCATAGTCCTTGCCCTCAGTGAATGCACACAGTATAGCAGATGGGACAGGGACAGAAAACAAATAGGAAAAACTCATGAGGCAAATGGGAGGCTCTCAGTTTGGGATATGGTCGGGAGGAGCCTCTGAGAAGTGCTGTTTAAATCAAAACCTAAAGAACGAGAGGCCGACTTACCATCTGCAGAGCTGAAGAGAGGCACGGTAGCCCTGGAAGCAGCATGTGCAAAGGTCCTGGGGCAGGGAAGAACGCGTGTGTTTTTATCATTTTGTTCTTTTCTGTCCAGCGGCTTCCATCATCCTCTCACCCAGCCCAAATAGCTTCCTTTACTGCTCATCTGCTGGCCTGGGACTAAGATGGTAGCCTCAGGCTCTGTTGACGTTCCAGCTCAGCCCAAGGGTAGCTCAGTCAGTAGCCTGGTGTCCTGATTTTGCTTCCTGGGAGCAGAGCCTGACTGACCTAGCTAGGTGTCACCCAGGTCCACCTAGATTGGAGTTATCCTGATTCCAGCAGAATCAGTTAGGTTGAATCAGCCAACCACGGCCCTTGGGCCATACCTATTTCCTGGGTTTTCTGATGTTTTATTGTCACGACCCACACCATTTCTGTGACTGCTTTTGGTTACAGTGAAGTGCTTGAAGCTTTGTGATGGAAACTGCCTGGCCTGCAAAGCCCAAACTACTTAAGGTGTGACTTTCTGCACAAGGAGTGTGCGGACCCCTGACCTAGGCCAGCTCTCTCGGTTGGGGCCACGAGTGAGGGACGATCCTCTTCAGAAAGGGCTCTGTCGGGGAAGCAGTGACCGGCTTTCCCAGGATATTAAAAAACCGGAAATGACCTCGGCTCCGGTCGCCATCCCCAGGTCATGGGATCAATCCCCAGGGCATGGGATCAATCCCCATGTCAGGCTCTGTGCTGAGCTGGGAGCCTGCTTAATATTCTCTGTCTCTCTCCCTCTCCCCCTCTCTGCCCCTTTCCCACTTAAGATTCTCTCTCTCTCTCTCTCTCTCCCCCTCTCCCCCCTCCCCTGTTCAAGTGGTTGCTCTCCCTCAAATAAATAAAGTCAGGCCTTAGATGTGTTAAAAATAACGAAGGCTTTGTAAATAATAAAAGCTATTATACTTTTGCCGCAAAAAAAAAAAAAAAAGAAAAGAAACTGGAAATCACCTAAATGTCAGAGAATGGGGAAGAGTCAGGTAATTCGAAGGACGCCCGTATGACCGTTAGGGCAGCCTCACTGAGGACGTGCTAGAAGTTTCTCTCTACGTGGGGGAGTGTTATGAAAGCAAAGAAGGCTGGATGTCACTTACATGCACACTCTGGCCTCAGTTGTGGTTTGTACGTGGTAAACGTTGAATAAATGCCTGACGTCTAAGGGGAGAATGCTTCCAGGCAGGGAGTTGGATCTACTCCACAGAAGGTGACTGTGCCCAGAGTGACCGTGGTCTGATCCCTGAGGAGTTAACAGGCCCTGAGGGGGATGGTTCATCGTCCCTGGACCCACTACTGTACTGCTTGAGCTGAGCTACTTTGGAAACTTTAAAAAGGCACAAGAAGCTTGAAATACAGAGAGAAACATGCCTGAAGGTTTAGGGGTCATCCGTATTGCCAACTGCAACTTAACGTTGGAACACGTCACAGATAAAGTAGATGGATAGGTGCCCCCTGTACGGCAAGTGTTAATTGCAGACTGGAGGTGCTGTGTGTGTGCGCGTGCGCACTGAACTGTTCTTTTAAGCCTACTCTGCGCTGAAATCTTCATAATAAAATACTGGGGAGAGGAAGATCGGGAGAAGATGAGGGTGTCAAACCACGGAAAAGGGTGAATAAGTAAAAAAGAAAAGTGCAAGTCGGTCTTCACAATTCAGTATTTTGTCGTATATACACAGGGGTTGTGAACCGATCTAAGAGTAGAGCGTTTTCATCACCCCCGAAGGGAAGGGAAGAGAAGACTCGCACCCATGAAGCGCTTCCTGCCTGTTCTTCCCTCCCTCCAGCTTTCTGTCTTTATGGATCTGCCTGTTGCGGATATTTCACATGCGCAGAATCGTGACAGTGCGGGGCCCCTTCTGTGCCTGGCTTCTTTCACTCAGCGTGATGGCCTGTAGGTTGAGCCACGTTGTGACGTGTGACAACACTGCATTCCTTTCTGTGGCCGAAGAATCGCCCATTGTATGGCTGTGCCTCGGCTTGTTTATCTGCCCGTCCGCTGATGGATATCTGGGCTCTTTCCATTTTGCGGCTGTTACGAACATCGCTGAAACAAACATTTGTGTACAAGGTTTCAGTGCTCTCTGGTGTAGACCCAGGAGTGAAATTGCTGGGTCATATGGTCACTCTATATTTATCCTTTTGAGCTTCCGCCAGACTATTTTTTAAAGTCGCTGCAGCAGTTTGCCTTCCCAACCAGGAGCAGATGATGGGTCTAGTTTCCCCACGTCCTTGCCAACGCTTGTGATTGTCGGTCTTTTTGATTATGGCCATTCTAGGGGATGGGAAGGTCGATTTGCATTTCTCCGATGGTGAATGACATTGAGTACCTGTTCATGCGCTTGTTGGACATTTGTATGCCTTCTTTGAAAAAATGTCCATGTAGATCCTTTGTCCATTTTTTAGTTGGGTTATTACTGAGTTGGAAGAGTTCTTTTTATAGTTTGGATCCCAGTACCATATCAGATACATGATTTGCAAGTTTTTTCTCCCATTCTGGGGGTTATCTTTTCCATTTCTTGGTGGTGTCCTTTGAAGCACAAAAATTTTTAAATTTGGTAGACTCCAGTCTATTTCTCCTACTGTCACTTGTGTTTTTCGTGTAATAGCTAAGAAATCATTGCCGGGCCCAAGGTCATGGAGATTTAAGCCTAAGTTTTTCTTCCTTCCTTCCTTCCTTCCTTCCTTCCTTCCTTCCTTCCTTCCTTCCTTCCTTCCTTCCTCTCTCTCTCTCTCTCTCTGTCTCTCTGTCTCTCTCTCTCTCTTTCCTTCTTTCTTTCTATTTTGAGAGAGCACATGAGGAGGGGAGGGGGAGAGAGAGAGAGGGAGAGAGAAACCTAAGCAGCTCCGTGCTGTCAGCATAAAGCCCAATGCAGGGCTTGAACTCACGAACAACGAGATCACGACCTGAGCCGAAACCAAGAGTCAGATGCTCAACCAACTGAGCTACCCAGGCACCCGTAGGCCTAAGGTTTTTTTTTTAAGAGTTTCATAATTTTAATTTTAATTTTATTTATTATTTACAAAAATTCTTTAATGTTTTATTTATTTTTTTTTGAGAGCGTGAGCAGGGGAGGGCCAGAGAGAGGGGGACACACAGAACCAGAAGCAGGCCCCAGGCTCTGAGCTAGCTGTCAGCACAGAGCCCGATGCGGGGCTCGAACCCACAAACCGTGAGATCATGACCTGAGCTGAAGTTGGATGCTCAACTGACTGAGCCACCCAGGCGCCCCTTAATTTTAATTTTAATAGTTAGGTCTGTGATCCACTTTGAGTTAATGTTTGTGGATGGTGTGAGGTAGGGATCCCGATTCATTCTTTTGCATGTATTAATCCATTGTTCCTGCACCTTCTACTGCCCTTTTTTTCAAAAACACTTTTTATTTTGATAAGAATTTGGATTTATAGAAATGTTGTAAAGGTAACGGAGTTCCAGTGTGTGTGTGTGTGTGTGTGTGTGTGTGTGTATTTTAAGTTTATTTTCAGAGAGAGAGAGAGAGCGCATGTGTGCACGCACATGAAAGCAGGGAAGGGGCAGAGAGAGAGGACCCCAAGCAGGCTCTGCACTGTCAGCACAGAGCCTGACGCAGTGCTGGAACTCAGGAACCTTGAGGTCATGACCTAAGCCAAAACCAAAAGTTGGACTCTTAACAGACTGAGCCACCCAGGCAACCACCCCCCACCATATAAAGCTCTGTCATAACTTACATACTCATTCTCAACTTCATGGACATTTATACAGTTTTCAAGCCTTTCCTATTCTAGATTTTCTTTACGGGAACAGTGTTAACATCTTTTTTTTTTTTTCAATTTATGAAAGTCATCACTGACTTGAAGTAACAGAGAATGGGCTAAGGATTCTGATGAAGTAGATACTTTGTTAAGTAGCTTTTTTTTTTTTTTTTTTAAATGTACTGTTTGGTAGTACTAAGTGTATTCACACTGCATAACAGAAAAATTACTTCTAAAACCATAAATGATACAAAGTAATCTTAATAATAGCAACAAACATTTTTCTAGAAGGGTTTTCAGAGCCATAGCTTTCGTTCCCATCTTCATGGACATTTCTGCCCTCTGACTTTTCCAGGCTGTTCGGCTCCTGAGCCCCAGATCTACGCCTTCCCGGTGACCAGGAACCAGGAACCGCCTTCCCGGATGCTGAGTCTCCCTTCCTCTGCTCCTGACAACTTCGAGAATGGTTTTGCCTGGAAAACCAACGACCTTCCCAGAAAGCCCAAGCTCGTGGTGGGTGGAAAAAATGTTCGCCAGGCTGCGCACGACTTCCCAGCCCCATCCTTGTTTTCTTTTCAAAGATCTTTTCACTGTGGTCTCTGCCTTGAAATGCTGACTACTTCAGGAGTTTGAGGAGGGTTTACGGAAGGGGAATGTGGTAACGTTGCATTCCCCACAGATAAAAGAACATGGCTAGGTTGTTTTTTTAGATCGGAATTCCTCTTCTTCCAAGCTTCTGCTAGAAACCCATTTCTGGATATTCCTTCATTTAGTTTTTAATAGCCGTCTTTTTTTGGTTCCGGTTACACAAGTTTTGAAGAAATCCTCTTTATCCAGGGATCTGAAACAGAAAGGTTGGCTTTTGAGTTTGATGCAGCCTCTTTATTGGACCATATTTACGAATAACAAACAAGTTCATTGTTTCTGGGCCCATGTCCAAGTCTAGATGGGCTCTGCTTGGCCACCCAGTGTCGCTGAGGTCATTCCCAGGACTTTAAGGGTGAAGTATTACCGATTCCTGTGGAAGAGAGCTACAGCATAGTTGACAGAGGCAGATGTGAGTGTTAGGAGAAACTTTGCCTTGCCTCGCGGCCCTCTGTTAAAGTCACTTTTGGGGCCATCGTATCATTTTCAGAAGGAGAGTGACTTAACGCGGGGGTACTGAGACCCAGTTCTCAAAGTTTGGAATTCCGGGTCTGCTTTTCAAGTGAGTGATTTCAAGGTTGAAAAGCAGTGAGCGTCACTCAAGGAACTTGAGCATCTTGCACGGAAGCTTCATTGCAAGGCGGGTCTTCTGGCGCCAAGACGCAATGCCGGTGGCCGGCACCCAGCTCCTGCCCGTGTTTGATTTGTTCGTTGTGGTTTTTGCAATCCTGATTTATAGGTAAACCTGACGGGAGAAAAAAAAAGTCACTAAGTAAATCTGCAGACTTGCGGAACGAAGTAGCATTGAGAATAAAGCTCATTTCTAAAAAGGATCTTTGGTTCACACATTTTTTAACCCAGAAATTAGTTGACTTTCCACTCGAGTGGTTCGGAATCACACGGTGGGCAACGCTGAGGATTTGATTCGGAGGCTGTCAGAACGTCAGAAAAGAGGCGATATTTAGATTTCCCTTTTGGGGTTTTGCTGATGAATGTCAGGCCGGGATTGACCCGGCCGCTCTTGGCAGTATCGAAAGAGCTGGTGACAACAGCAGGCTGCTGCCAGACCAGGGTCAGATCCACTCCTGCTGCTCCGCCAATATCATTCTCCTTCACCGCCTGTATAATTTATTCCCTTGTCACACCCGGGCGTGTGGTTTGTAAGTAACCGGGGAATGTCGCGGCTGAATCGAGCTCTTCACCCAGGCCTCATCAGCCAGGATAGACGTGCCAAGATCTTGGCCGGTCACTCCTCCAGCCGTGTCAGTGGTGCGAGGAAACCTCGCTGCCTTATTCAGACTGGTGCTGGGGTCTCTGTGAGGAGAGGCATTCCTATGTTACGGGACTGAATCGTGCTCTGGGAAGAGAATGCTGTCATTGAGATTTTGTTTCAATAGTTGTATTTTTTCCCCCAGAGAACTGTTATCTCCTTGTTAAGCTCCCATAAGCAGTGTAGCTTCGGAGGCAGCCGTACATTTTAAAAGTTCCATCTCGTGGGTGTGTGCCTTTAGGAAGCTTTTCCAGAGCCCTCGTTAACGTCAAAGATTATCGACACTGAAGTTTTGGGTGCATAGTGTGGCCCAGCATTTAAGCGCTTGTGCTTCTGGGTCAGTTAGATGTGGGTTCGAGTCCCATCTCTGCTCCTTGCCAGGGAGACCTTGGGCGCTTGCTTCCCTGCTCCCTGCCTCAGTTTCCAGTCTCTAAAATGGGTCGGAAGTTCCCATCTGCCTGGGGCTGTTGGAAAGTTCTGCAAACTCAAATGTGGGCCAGGTGCTTGACTGAGCACCTGGTGCCTAATAATTGCTCAATACCTCTGGGTGTCCTCACTGCCTGCATTTTCTTTCTCTCGCCACATCTGTGCGTGAAGTCTACACACACCCCGTTAAAGAGCGATTTTATTTTTTGTTACTTTTTAAAGTTTTTTTTAATGTTTATTTATTTTTGAAAGAGGGAAAGCACAAGCAGGGGGAGGGCCGAGAGAGAAGGGGACAGAGGATCCGAAGTGGGCTCCATGCTGACAGCAGCAGAGAGCCCGATACGGGGCCCAGACTCGCAGACCACAAGGTCACGACCTGAGCCGAAGTTGGACGCTTGACTGATGGAGTCACCCAAGTGCCCCGCGATTGTATTGTTTAAAAAAATTAGACAGACGACTGGGTGTCTCCAGTCAGTTAAGCATCTGACTCTGATCTCGCGGTTTCTGGGTTCAAGTCCCGCTTTGGGCTTGGTGCTTACAACTGGGAGCTTGGATCCTGCTTCAGATTCTGTGTCTCCCTCTCTCTCTGCCCGTCCCCCACTAGCGCTCTGTCTCTCTCAGAAAAGAAACATTAAAAAAAAAAAAAAAAAGAATTGGGAACAGTTTTCCAGCATGGAAAACCTTTTCTCGTCTTCCTGTTGCCTTTCCAGCACTTTCCTTATATGCATCGGTGTCCAGGCAAACCCTGGAGATCTTGCGGGTTCAGTTCCAGACCAGGAAAGCGAATATTGCAATAAGGCAAGTTAAGCGAATTTTTTGGTTTCCCAATTCATATAAAAGTTATGTTTATACTTCACCGTAGTCTATTAACTGTACAGTAGCGTTACATCGAAAAGAAAAAATACATGCATTCTTAATTGAAAAACACTTTATTGCTAAAAAGTGCTAACCATATTGTAAGCTTTCAGTGAGTCCTCATCTCGATCACAGGTCACCAAAACAAATACACTAATGATGAAAAAGTTGGAAATATTGTGAGAATTAGCAAAATGTGACACAGAGGCATGAAGTGATTGGACGCTCTTGGGAAAACGGCGCCAAGAGGCTGGTCGCCACAGACCTTCACCTTGTAGAAAACACGGCATCTGCGAAGTGCAATGAAATGAGCTCTGCCTGGGAATGACGTTGTTTGATAGCGGATAAGCCACCTTGGGTTCTACTGTGTTCATCATTTGGCATCTTTTCCTCCATATTTTCTGGGTTGCCAGACAGGCTCCGTGGTGCTCAGTTGTTGTTTTTTTTAGTTTATTTATTTTAAGATAGAGCGCTAGTGGGGGAGGGGCAGAGAGAGAATCCCAAGCAGGCTCTGCACTGCCAATGTGGGTGGAGCCCGACTTGGGGCTCGAACTCACAAACCGTGAGATCATGACCTGAGCTGAAATGAAGAGTTGGGCGCTTAATTGACTGAGCCCCCCAGGCGCCCCTCCATGGTGCTCAGTTTTCATTACTGCGTGGTGTTAATAAATGTCTCTTTGACCTTGGCCCCTCATATGTGCTTTGAACTTGTACTTTGTCCACTCTTAAAAACACCACAGCTGTAACCATTGTTGTGACCTTTGCTGGCTCCCTTCACCAGTGACTCTGGAGTATCTGGGAAGGCTGTAGCATCAGATACCACTGTGGTAGCTTGAGTGGCTGTTGTTTGCTCTATTTTAAAGCTGCTTACTCCCAATGCGTGTTCATTATAGAAAAATTATGCTATATGACTTTGCTCGAAAGGATACAACCACCAATAATCACATTCCCGCAGAGAGCATCCCTCAAGAGATACATCTTCCTGGGTCTTTCTCTATGCACGTGCATAGAGGTATGGGGCATACATCTTTGTGACGTAAATTGTGTCTTTGTATGTTCTAGCTTGCTTTTATCATCTGATGATACATTTCTGTATTTTTTCCTACAGTTATGGTTGTCTTATTTTTTAATGTTTATTTTTGAGAGAGAGCTCGTGAGAGTGAGCGCGTGTTCCCGTGAGCAGGGGAGGGGCAGAGAGAGGGAGGGGGAAACAGAGTATCTGAAGTGGGCTCTGCACCAATAGCAGAGAGCCCTCCCGATTCGGGCCTCAAACTCATGAGCTGTGAGGTCATGACCTGAGTCGAAGTCCGATGCTTGACTGAGCCATCCAGGTGCCCCTTTCTTTTTTTTCTCTCTCTCTCTTTTTTTAAATGTTTTATTTATTTCTGAGAGAGAGAGAGACAGCATGAGCAGGGGAGGGTCAGAGAGAGAGGGAGACACAGAATCTGAAACAGGCTCTAGGCTCTGAGCTAGCTGTCAGCACAGAGCCCGACACGGGGCTCGAACCCACGAACTGTGAGATTATGACCTGGGCCAAAGTTGGACACTTAAACGACTGAGCCACCGAGGCACCCCTGTTTTGTTTTGTTTTTTAAAGTTTTTTAAAATTTACATCCAACTTTGTTCGCGTATAGTGCAACAATGATTTCAGAAGTAGATTCCTTAACACCCCTGACCCGTTTAGCCCATCCCCCTCCCACAACCCCTCCAGTAACCTCTGTTTGTTCTTCATATTTAAGAGTCTCTTATGTCTCATCTCCCTCCCTTTTATCTTATTTTTGCTTCCCTTCCCTCATGTTCATTTGTTTTGTAGCTTAAAGTCCTCATATGAGTGAAGTCATATAATATTTGTCTTTCTCTGACTAATTTCGCTTAGCATAATACCCTCTAGTTCCATCCAAGTAGTTGCAAATGTTTTCTCTCTCTCTTTTTTTTAGTTACCGTTCTTAATAACTGCAAAGAAATCATTGTAATGATGTGTCATGATTAAATTAACACGTCCCCAGCCGATGGAAACTTGAGTTGTCTCTGGGTTTTGTCTTTCATAAATAATACTGTGATGAACATCTCGATATATCATCCCCAATGAATTTGGGGGGTCCTTTTAAAAAGGGATCTACCTTGGGGCAAGTGGGTAGCTCAGTTGGTTAAGTATCTGACTTCAGCTCAGGTCACGATCTCACAGTTTGTGAGTTGGAGCCCTGCATCGGGCTCACTGCTCAGCACAGAGGCTGCTTTGGATCCTCTGCCGACCTCTCTCTCTGCCCCTCCCCTGCTCACACACTCTGTCTCTCTCTCTCAAAAAAAAAAATAAAAACATTTTAAAAAAGTAAAATAAAAAGAGATCCATCTTGACAGCTATGGGCTGAAAGTTCCAAAGGAAAACATATCTTGGCTGACTGGCGTCTGGTTTGTTCATTGATTCCTACATGCGTGTGTTCACGTGTACAAGAACTGGGTTCTAGACTCCGATCAGCTTCAACCTGGAGTGATCTTAGGCGACTTCAGTTTGCTTAACCTGTTAATAAGGACGAGGTTGTCAGGATCCACCCAGATAACTGTTTCTTTGTGCAAGCTACCTTATTTGACATCACACCAGTTGACATTCTGCCCTGATGCTAAGGGTTAAGAACCTTAACCGCCATCTAGGTAATAAATGCCCACTATTGCTTGCCCTGGAGCATGTTGCGTGGAGTCACGGCCAAGGTGAGGAGCTGAATGTTGAGAATGAAAGCAAGGCAGCAGTTTGCAGCACCTGCCCTTTGAGATTCATGTTGGAAAACCCCTTCTGCTTCTTCCTCCATCCCTGCCATGTCTGAGAAGTGGAACATGTCCCTCGATTGGTGGGTGTCTCATTGGACCTCAGGTCCCACTATTCCAGAGCAGAGATCAGAATCTATGGTTCTCAGGCAGAGGCTGGCTAGCCACTTGTTGTTTGTTTTTGTTTTTTTTTTTGTAAATAAAGTTTTATTGGCACCGAGCCATGGCCCTCCGAATAGGTATTGTCTAAGGCTGCTTTAGCTGCTCTCTTGCTACAGTGACTGAGATGTGACAGAGACCTTCTGCCCTGCAGACCTGAGAATACTGTCTTTCTGGCCCATTTGTGTGACACATTTGCTGACCCTTGAGCTAGGGGATGATAGAGAATCTCTAGGTGCCCTTCCCCACCCCCACCCCACCCCCATGACACTCGCACACCTTGTGGTCTAGATTTTCATAACCACATGTGCAAATATGTTGTTCAAATTTGCTAAAGATCAGGCCAGCCGTTTTCAAGAGGTG